GGTTTCAGCATATTGGCCAGGCTGGTCTTGGACTCCTGACCTCAGGTGATCCACCCACCTTGGCCTCCCAAAGTGCTGGGATTACAGGTGTGAGCCATTGCGCCCAGTCCACCATTGTAATTTTTACAGAATATACTCACACATTTATTTCTTCATCTACTAACTACAGGTAGTATCCTTATGACTCCTGTTCTGTAATACGATGGTGCCAGCATCCCTTCCTTTCAATTCACCTCTTTCCTCCGCCTTCCAACTTGCCATCTTTTCTCACGGCATCCAAAATGGTAGCCACTACCCCACATGTGGCTATTTACATTTAATTTAATTAAAATATTAATAAATAAAATAAAACTTCAGTTCCTTAGTTGCACCAGCTTGATATTTCAAGTGCTCCATCTCTACAAGTGACTACCAGCTATCATACTGGTAGGCATAAATGTAGAACATTTCCTCCTTTACAGAACATTCTATTGGATTCTATTCTATACGTCATATTGTTCAGCTGGTAGCATTTATGTTCTGTTTCTATAATTATATAATTGCTTTCTGTGCTTTTCTTTTAAGTTGATTCTAACATTGAAATAATTAAAGAATAATGTTTATATTATTATAATGTGTATATATATATATATATATATATATATATATATATGTATGTATTTCTTCCCAAAGAGCTGGGATGCCTTCTATAACATTTTCCTTCTTGGAAGTCTTTTGGTTTTCTAGGAGTTTTTAATTGCCTTTCTTTGTTCCTTGCATTAGTTGCCTTTAACAGATTGTTTTCCTTCCAATTCTTCATCGTTTCAAGTCTTCTCTTGATTCCCTTTCTCCTTAGAGAACTTCCTCCTGGATCCTTAGTCCTGCTATAGCCTAGACTGACTGCTCCCTGGGCTTGCTGCCCACTTGTCATCTTGGGAATTCCCTTTTCTTCTCTCCTAGGCTAGAGCTATTTTTTCCTGAATTCCACATCTTCTCCTTTCTTGGCTTACTTCCTCGTTTTTCTGGAGCACATCCTCAACTAACTTCCTATGCAAGGGTATGTGGGAGGTAAATTTTCTGAAACCCATCTATGTGAAAATGTCTTTACTCCCCCACCACCCCCACTTAATTCACGGTTTTTCTGGAAACAAGATTCTAGGGCAAAAGTCAGTTTTTCTCAGAACTTGAAAGGTATTGCATCATAGACTGTTTGTATGGTTGGATTCTACTTCTTTTATAGGTGATCTCTTTTTATAGACAATCTTAAGACATTCTCTTTATCTGTTTTACTGAAATTTCATAATGATGTATCTAACTGTGGGCTTTGTTTTGTTTTTCATTTCTTTGCTCAGTGAAATCTTCAGATCTGAAGAACTGTGTCCATCAGAACTGTAGAATTCTCTCATGTCTTAATTTTTGGTATGTTTCATTTGATTCCGTCCTCACAGTTAGGAAGGACATTGGAACTCAGAGACTGATTATCTGTATGTCTAATTATTTCTCTCCTGACTCCCATCTCTCCAAGCTTTTTATTCTACTTTCTGAGAGACTGCCTCATCTTTCTCTTCTAATCCTTTCAGTGAATTGAAAAAGTTCAGTGATCATAATTTTAATTTAATTTTTAATTTCCAAGAATGTTTCTCATCTTTTGACAGATGTTTTTTATATCATCCTGTTTCATGGAAGATGGATCTTTTTCCTTTATCTTCATGTCTTCCCTTCATATTCTAGACTCTCCTCAAATATCTGGGGATCCTTGGTTGTCATTTTACATTTAAGAAAGAGGCACTAAAAGCTGTTTGGAGCTCTGAACATTGGACAGGAATGGTTGACTAGTGGCTTCCCTTTAGGGGGGCTGGGCAGGGAGCTACCTGCTATAACCAGACTCCCAACTGCCAGGAAAAACTGGTCTTTTATTTGGGGCATTTAAATTCATTTAGCGAAGGATCTTTTGATCGTTTGCTTGGGAGACAGGCCCCTGAGCACGGGATATTCTGCATGTGGGGAGCAGGCAGCAGGCAGCAGGTATGGACTGCTCTTTCTTCTTTTTTTTTTTTTTGAGACGGAGTTTCACTCATGTTACCCAGGCTGGAGTGCAATGGCGCGATCTCGGCTCACCGCAACATCCGCCTCCTGGGTTCAGGCAATTTTCCTGCCTCAACCTCCTGAGTAGCTGGGATTACAGGCACGCACCACCATGCCCAGCTAATTTTTTGTATTTTTAGTAGAGACGGGGTTTCACCATGTTGACCAGGATGGTCTCGATCTCTTGACCTCGTGATCCACCCGCCTCGGCCTCCCAAAGTGCTGGGATTACAGGCTTGAGCCACCGCGCCCGGCCCTGGACTGCTCTTTCTAATGACTTTATCCCTCACCTTACTTCTACCATCTGTGGCTCTGGGAATCTCTGAATCTTGCAGTTCTAACTTGAGCTTCACACAGTATCTACTTCTCCACCCATTTTCCAGCTTCTGGAAATTAGCTGAAATCTCTCCTCTGTGGTTAGCCCCTCCACTTTTCTGTTTTAAGTTTTAGTCTTTTATAGTCATTTCAGAGAAATTTCAGGATGGAGAATAGATGAGATGTGGCTAGCCCACCACCCCGACGCAGAAGTCAACCTTGGTGGCTATTGTTTTTCTTTTTCTTTTTGTTTTTTACTTAGGGTCATATTTTTCCATAAGCTTCTGCCAGGGACATTGTATTACTTGGATTAATGTTTCCTGTCTGATAACCTGTGATTAATCACCTTTGCACTGGGAAAAACATTATTCCCTGCTGATGGTCTTGTATATTTTCTTAGGATGGAAAGTAAGACTCAGTCACATCCGTCTTTCCCTTTTTGATCCTGCTACCAAGATGCTTAGTGCTGACTTCTAATGCTAACCCTAATCCTAACACTTTGGGGATATATACTTTTTGTTTTCTATTATATGTTCCATTTAATTTTCTTTCTTTCTTTTTTTGAGACAGAGTTTCACTCTTGTCACCCAGGCTGGAGTGCAGTGGCACAATCTCGGCTCATCGAAACCTCTGCTTCTAGGGTTCAAGTGATTCTCCTGCCTCAGCTTCCCAAGTAGATGGGATTACAGGCTCCCGCCAACATGCCCAGCCAATTTATGTATTTTTAGTAGAGACAGGGTTTCACCATGTTGGTAATGCTGGTCTCGAACTCCTGAACTCAGGTGATCCACCCACCTTGCCCTCCCAAAGTGCTGGGTTTACAGGCGTATGAGCCACCGCACCTGGCCATGTTCTATTTAATTTTCTAATTTTCTTTAACTATCACATGCATATATCTTTTATTGTTATGTACCTTAAATTATTTCATGAGGTCAATGCTTCACTTTTTTTTTTTTTTTGAGACAGAGTCTCGCTCTGTCATCAGGCGCCAGCCGGAGTGCAGTGGTGCAATCTTGGCTCACTGCAATCTCTGCCTCCTGGGTTCAAGCAATTCTCCTGCCTCAGCTTCCCAAGTAGCTGGCACTACAGGTGTGCGCTACCACACCCAGCTAATTTTTGTATTTTTTAGTAGAGACGGGGTTTCACCATATTGGCCAGGATGGTCTCCATCTCTTGACCTCATGATCCGCCTGCCTCAGCCTCCCAAAGTGCAATACTTCACTTTTTATATCTCTCTTCCTCCCAATTGGAGAAGTTATTCCTTAAATTATTTGTTTGTCCTTTCCAAGTTGATGTCTCCTTTTTCTCACCTTTAATACCATTTAGATTTTGTGTAAGAGGATTTGATTCAAAATGACCCCTCACCTGAAATCCTAGCATTTTGGAAGGCTGAGCCGGGTGGATTGCTTGAAGTCAAGAGTTCAAGACCAGCCTGACCAACATGGTGAAACCCCGTCTCTACTAAAAATACAAAAATTAGCCGGGCACGGTGGCACATGCCTGTAGTTCCAGCTACTTGGGAAGCTGAAGCAGGAAAATCTCTTGAACCTGGAAGGTGGAGTTTGCAATGAGCCTAGATCATACTACTGCGCTCCAGCCTGGATGACAGAGTGAGACTCTGTATCAAAAAAAAAAAAAAAAAGATCCCTTAAGAACTTTCCAGTGTTAATGGAACCTCAGCCTGAGTCCTCTGGTCTCCTGTTTCCTGAGCTGTGTGAGAGGATAACCTACACCTGTGAATTCTCTTTCTCCTCAACTCAGGGCAGAAACGATGCTTTCTACATCTCCCTCACCTCTCAGTGAGCTTAGTGGTTTGGAGCTGACCCCGGTGAGCCTAGCTTCTGGAATCTAGGACAGCTGACCCAGGGCTGGTCCACAGGCCCAGGGTCTGAGGAAGTCCCGTGGGCAGGCAGGTGTAGGACACGTGATCACCTCTGGGTTCTCACTGGTGTCTTTTCCTCCTTCTCCCAATTCCTTCTCAACCCATGGTTCCTTTCTCTTCTCCTAACCTTAGTAGGTGTGCGTATGTGGGGTGGGTCTGGGTGGGGATGTGCATTATTGTCAGGGGACGCTATAGAATTTATATGCTATGTGTCCTAGGTGACCAAGTCTGACTTTTTTTTTTTTTTTTTTTTTTGAGGGAATCTCACTCTGTTGCCTAGGCTAGAGTGCAGTGGTACTATCTTGGCTCACTGCAACTTCCACCTCCTGTGTTCAAATGATTCTATTGCTTCAACCTCCCGAGTAGCTGGGATTACAGGTGTGCGCCACCATGCCTGGCTAATTTTGTATTTGTAGTAGAGATGGGGTTTCACTACGTTGGCCAGGCTGGTCTTGAACTCCTGACCTCATGATCGGTTTGCCTTGGCCTTTCAAAGTGCTGGGAATACAGATGCAAGCTACTGTGTCTAGCCAAATCTGCCTTATTTCTGATCCTCAGTTACCTTATCTGTAAAATGGGTATAACAGCAGGGAGTGGCTAAAAGAAACAGAAGAGTTAGCATATATAAAAGGTCTAGAACCCTGCTTGGGAGCTGTGAGTGGAATAGAATTTTCACACTCTGGGCTCCACACCCCTTACCATTCCCCCATCTGTCTCTCCTTCCCCACTGTCCCCGCCCTTACTGGATCAGTTCCAACACCCGCCTCTTCATGGCCTGGACCAGGTCCCGGTGCCCTCCAAGCTCCTCCTGGTACATGGCGTCCTTCCTCTCAGCCTCTTCTTGCTTCTGCTTCAGCTGTGTCTGCAGCTCGGCTCTCTCTTCCTGACACCTGGGTACAAAAGAAGACTAAGTGCTCTGGGGAAAAGCTCAGCCTTTGTGCCTGAGCTAGGCTGGGCCTCTGTTGGACAGGGAGCCCAGGAGAGATGCTGGTGATGCCCCCGGCAGCTGAAGTCCATACACACACACACACATGCACACGCAAACACTACAATACACACCACATCACACACAAAATGCACACACAATACAACACGTAACACAACAGACATAACACCCAACAGAACACACATATACAATACAGACAACACACACAACCCCCCACATATTGAGACACACACAATACCACATATAACACCTACACACAACACAACACATATACAACACACAATATAATGCATACATACAGCTCAACATATATACAACACAACACAGATGTAACCCATACACATAACAACATTCACACAAAACACAACACATACACACAACACAAAACACAACACACACGATGCACTCACACAATACAACACATAACACAACAGACACAACACCCAACAGAACACATATACACACACACAACATATACATAAAAGACAATACACACAGCACAACATCCCCTACATATAACCCACACAATACAACACACAGCACACAAACAACACAACACATATAGACAATGCAACACATACATAAAACACAGCATAACACATACACACAACTCAAGGTATGCATGACACATATGAAACCCGTACACATAACACAGCACACACAAATACAACATATATGCACAACACGCCACACAGTACAACACATTCTTACAACACAACATACACAAACATACAACACAACACTACAGGCACATTCATAATGCACACACATAACACAACACATCATACACACCACACACAATCATAATCCCACACACAATGCACATGCATAACATGCACGTACAACACACCAGACACAATATAATACAACAAAAAACGCAACATAAAATATACACAACACACAGCACACACATGCCCACAACACAACACACACCCTAATACACACACAGTATAATAGAACACATACACACAACACAGAAGACACACTTACAACTCAATACACATATAATGTATACACATACAATACATACACACACCACAACACACCACACATCACAACACACATAATGTACATACGACTCAATACACACAACACAACACATATAAATGCACACACCACACACATAAACAGAACACAAACAACACAACGTATACATACATACTTGCACAACACACAAAACAGACATCCATAATGCAGACACATAACACAACATGCCCACAATGTGCATGCACTGCAACCTCTGCCTCCCAGCTTCAAGCGATTCCCCTACCTCAGCCTCCTGAGTAGCTGGGACTGCTAATTTTTTGTATTTTAGTAGAGACGGGTTTCACCTTGTTGGCCAGGATGGTCTCAATCTCCTGACCTTGTGATCCGCCCGCCTCGGACTCCCAAAGTGCTGGAATCACAGGCGTGAGCCACCACACTTTGCCCCTGCTTTGTTTTTAAACATTTCCATTTAAAATGTAACTTTCTTGACAGTTATGTTCACCATCCTGGCAGCTCTCTGGAGGGAAAGCGGATGCCTGGGACCCTAGGCTGGATGGTTGGTGCCCAGCTGGAAATAATTGTGTGTGGAAGGGGAGCAGTGTAGGATTTAGGGTGATGTTTTGCTTTAAAATATTTTAAAAAGTTATGTTACATTGTCTTTTCAATTAAAAAAGTAATAGTAAAAATACGTCTTTCCTAAATTTGTTTCAGTGGTGGGTTTGGTAGCTTCTCAGCTCCACTCTTGGCTTTTCTTTTTGTCTGCAGTGGTTTTCTGGAAGTTTCCGAGAAGACGACTAGACTGGAAATAAAAAGACTTGGCCCCAGGGCCCAGCCTCTGGCTCAGCTGGGAGGGCGCTGTGATGGCGGGTGACATGAGTGAGTCCCTGCGTTCAGGGTTCATGTGCGTCTGTGTGCCCCTGTATGGTCCTGGGGATTGAGCATGTTTGAGTGGAAGAGGCTTGCAATAGGCCTGACAATGAATTGAACATGTAATTTTAACACCCCCTTTTAGCATGTTGCTGGGAAGAAAGTTGGGTGGGCCATGACATCAAACTGCCAGCAGCCCAGTCCCTGACATTCCAGAGTTCAGTCACTGCAGCCCTAAGAGGCTTCTGGTGCCCAGGCACAGAGCAGGGCCATGTTTCGAATTTTAATGAATGTTCTAATCTTTTGGCACCTCATTTCTTAGCTGCTGACTTTAATTTTCCTGAGCCAGTTTACTTGCCCGGTGATCCTGGGCCCTTCATGTGTCCACCATGGTGTGCGCATGTGTCTTTGGGGTGAGAGAGAACACTCACTTACCACCTGCTGTGTGCCATGGGATGTGTAGGTGCCAGGAATAAAGCAGTGCCTATGGATCTTACGGTGTTTGGGGCAGGGGTGAAATAAATGATAGACCTGTAAAATACTGAAACTAAGTGCTATGACAGAGACAACGGAGAGGCTCAGAGACCAGAGAGGGTTCTTGGAGAGGCTTCTCGGACAAGGTGAAATGGAAGCTGACCCAGAAGATGAGAAGTCAGGAATATAGAGGCAGGCATGGGCACATGCAAAGGTCTGCAAGTTGGAAAGAGCTGAGCTTGTTTGAGGAACTGAAAGAAGATGAGTGAATCTGGAGTGCCACAAAGGTCAGTGGGGGGCAGGGAAGGCAGGAGAGGAGTGGGGAGGTGGGCAGGACCTGAGCTGTCTGCCAGTGGCCCAGGAGAAGTGGATGTTAATCTCAGTGAAATGGGGAGCCCCTGAAGTATTTTAATTATGGGGTGACGGATACTCCTAGCACACGAGGGGGGCATGGAAGGAATTAGTTTACTGAGCACTTACTATATGTCAGGCCCAGGTTTAGTGTTTTATAGCCCCATTCATTTAGTTCTCACGATGTTATGAGACAGATAATATGATCCTCATTTTACGAGGGAGAAAATAGAAACTCAGAGAGGGAGTGACACTTGCCCAGGGTCACACAGCTTGATGAGTGGAGGGAGCAGAAATCTGGACGCAGGCTTGCCCAGGTCAAAACTCTTTTTACCTCCCTGTACATTCATCCAGGTAAGGCCCTGATCACCAGTGATTCCTGGCACTGGCGCCAAGTGGGCAGCAGGTGGGAGGGAGGGAGGGAGGGAAGGACGCTGATGGAGCCTGGCGGGACTCAAAGGAGCTCAGTGCTGCTGTGCAGGGGCTGGGGGATGTGTGATATCTGCCTAGTTCCCCATCCTGAAGACCTCTTCTGCTGATGCGTGTCCTAACTGCTTTTGCTCGAGGTGCAGAGGACACCCACCTGCTTGGAAAGATGGCTCCACAGAGCATCTAAGCTGGGAGGATGAACCTTAGCCATCCCACTGTCTCTTTTTGCAAATCATGGACCTAGGCCCAGAGAGGGCAAGCCACTGTCCCCAGGGGCCCACAGCCAGAAAGCCGTGAAGTGGGTGTTGGAAGCCCCATGTCTCAGCCCAAGTCTGTTTTCACAGCCCCATGGACTTGCCCTGGGCCTGCTGCCTGCAGGCTGGCTGTGGCTGACTTCTGCTCCCAGCCTGTGCTCTGCACGGGGGCTCCCACCCATCAACCATCTGTCTGTCCTCCACACCACAGCCCGAGTGAGCCTTTAAACACTGAAGTCAGACTAGAAACGCCCCACTCTAAACCCTGCCCCAGCCTCTGGTGGCACAGGGAAGAATTCCAGTGCCTCACTCAGCCTTTAAGGCCCCTGGCTCTGGCTCTGCCCCTCTCCCCTCTGCTCAGCCACCCCCTGTGCATCTGGACTGCCTGTCCACAAATGCATGTCTTCCGGCCGTTCCCCTAGCCACAGCACTTCTGACTAGATATTTGCAAGGTCCAGTCTCTCACGTGTTTGGGACTTCTGCTCAAATGTCACCTCCACAGAGAGGGCTTCCTGGCCCCCAGTCTGAATGACTATCCTGTCTTTCTTCAGGTCCTTCGCTGCCTTTGTTTTTCTCCCTAGCATCTATCCAATGGGCATTGGATTGCTATCTGTTTATCTGCCTGCCATTGGATTGCTGTTTATCTGCCTGCCATTGGATTGCTGTTTATCTGCCTGCCATTGGATTGCTGTTTATCTGCCTGCCATTGGATTGCTGTTTATCTGTCTGCCATTGGATTGCTGTTTATCTGTCTGCCATTGGATTGCTGTTTATCTGTCTGCCATTGGATTGCTATCTGTTTATCCAGCCCAGGTCTTCTAGAATAGGCTTGGCCAGGTTTGTTCACCACATCTGCTCATGACCATTGCAGAGGCATAATAAATGTCTGATGGAATGAATACGTCCCTCGGCCCTTCTATTCTCTGTGTTGAGGAACTCATGGCCAGCTTGATGCCCACCGGCTCCTTTCCCGGAGTGAGCTTTGTCCTTAGCTCCCTGGCTCCCAGGCATCAAGGAAGCACATCTCCCTTCTGAGCCTCAGGGTCAGCTGTTACTCAGAGTCCTTACTCTGAGCACTCCAGGACAGATCTCCCATCCCACGCTTCCCTCCTGAGCTCCACACTCAACTGCCTGCCCGGCGGCCCCCATCTAACATGTCTAATGGGTGTCTGAAACATAACGTTTCAAAACCAAGCTCTGAACTTTCCCCACAAACCTGCCCTCCCACGGCCTGCACACTTCGGTTAATGGTGACTCTAGCTTTCTAGCTGATCAGGTCAAAAACTCAGAGTCATCCTCGACTTCTGTCTTTCCTTGAGACTGCATATCCAATTCTTTGGGAAGTTCTCCTTCACACTGTATCCAGAGCCCAGCAGCTTCTCCTTGCTCCATGCCGCCAACATGATCTGAGCACCCTCACTCTCCCCTGCACAGCAGGGTCCTCAATGGACTCCCTGCCGACAGGCCAGCTCCACTGCGCCTTTAAAACACATATCAGGCCGGGTGCGGTGGCTCACACCTGTAATCCCTACACTTTGGAAGGCTGAGGTGGGTGGGTCACCTGAGGCCAGGAGTTTGAGATCAGCCTGACCAACATTATGAAACCCCATCTCTACTAAAAATACAAAAAAAATTAGCCAGGCATGGTGGTGGGCATCTGTAATCCCAGCTACTTGGGAGGCTGAGGCAGGAGAATTGCTTGAACCCGGGAGGCGGAGGTTGCAGTGAGCTGAGATGGCACCACTGCACTCCAGCCTGGGCGACAAGAGTGAAACTCTGTCTCAAAAACAAAAAAACAGAAAAAAAAAACCAAGTAACAACAATGACAACAACAACAACAAAACGCGTCAGCCTCAAAAAGCTGATCTGTGGAGACAGAACGTGGGCTGGTATTGCCTAGGCCTGGAAAGGAATGCGTACCGGCTGTTAACGGGCACAGGATTTCTCTTTGGGGCGATAGAAATGTTCTGAAATTGATTGAGATGGTGGATGTATAACTCTTGAATACACTAAAAACCATTTAATTGTTAGGTATTTGTAAAAGCATATTAGATCTCTGCAGGGAGAGGAGACTTTACAAAATAAATTATGGGCTGGGTGTGGTGGTTCATGTCTGTAATCCTCGCACCTTTGGAAGGCTGAAGCTTGAGCCTAGGAATTTGAGACCAGTCTGCACCATGTAGTGAGACATCATCTCTACAGAGAGAGACAGAGAGAGAGAGAGAGAGAGAGAGGAGGGAGAGAGAGAGAGAAAGGCTGGGCACGATGGCTTATGCCTGTAATCCCAGCACTTTGGGGGGCTGACACAGGTGGATCACAAGGTCAGGAGTTTGAGACCAGCCTAGCCTGGCCAGTATGGTGAATTCCCATCTCTACTAAAAATACAAAAATTAGCTGGGCATGGTTGTGCATGCCTGTAGTCCCAGCTACTTGGGAAGCTGAGGCAGGAGGATCACTTGAACCCGAAAAGTGGAGGTTGCAGTGAGCCAAGATCGAGCCACTGCACTCCAACCTGGCAACAAAGTGAGACCTCATCACACACAAAAAAAGAGAGAGCACACGAGAGAGAGAGAGAGAGAGAGAGAGAGAGCAAGAGAGAGAAAGAGAGAAACAGACCTGAGAGACTGAGTGGGGAAGGCAGAGACAGACAGTGTGCCGTGGGCCCCTGAGGTCACTGTGAAGACAGAAGATGAAGACGCTGGATGGTGAGAGACACGGAGCAGGAGAAACGGAGAGACTGAGGTGCAGGCACCCGACGTGCTGCCTGAGCGGGCATCTGAGCCCTCTGGTTCTGGAGTCAGCAGCAGGCCTTGAACCTCAGCTCCCTGCTAACTAGCTAACAGTGGGCATATTGTGTGGCATCTTTGAGCCTCAGCTTCCTCCTCTATAAAAAGGGGGTTCTGTAGAACTCATGTCATAAGGATGTTAGGCAGAAGCACCTGCAGCAGTGCCCTGGACATAGTAAATGCTCAGTAAACGATAGCTATGAGTATGAGAGGGTGAGAGATGGCCTAACAGGAAGAGGCAAATGAGACATAAAGAAACTGAGTAAAAGAGGGAGACAGAAAGAGATGGGGAAAAGAAGCCCAGTGGAGCAGGGAGGCAGAGAGGGTGGAAAAGAGAGAGGAGCTGCCCGGGGAGGCAGCAGAGGGAGGCAGGGGTGAGGGTGGGAGGGAAGGAGGCCAGGAGGTGGGGCCTGTCCTGGGGCTGCTCTGGGAGGCCTGTGAGAAAGGAAGGCACAGGGGAAGGAGGGTGGAGCCCCTGGGATCAGGAGCAATGCCCTGCAGGCCTCAGATCCCAAAGGTGTGCCCAGCCCAGGGCCTGGTGCATGGTAGGTGCTCACAAGACCTCACTGGCTTGACAGTGATTGACAACAGGACTCACGGAGTACTTCCGGACACCCTGTGCTGTGGGTTGCCAAGGTTACCTGCTGAGCTGCTCCCGAAGTGCCTGCAGCTCCCCCTCCTGCTCCCTCAGCAGCCGCTCCTGGTGCTGGGCCTGCTCCTCGGCCTTCTGGAGCCCAAGTCTGAGGCTCTGAGGAGTGGAAGGAGGGGAGGAGGAGACTGAAGGAGCAGGGAAGAGACCCCAAAGCTGGGGCTGCCCTGAACAACATTCCTGAGAGACCCCAGGCCATGCCCTGGCAGGGATGGGGACAGTGCTGAAAGCTGTGATCCCTGGCTCTGTCCTATGCCCTGCTTCTGGGTGAGTCTGGGCCGCTGTTTCCTTCTTCATTGAAGGGTGGAAGTTGCAAATTCAGGAACTTGGAAGTTCCTGGGTGGAGGCTGAAGGAAGTCTTGGTGACAATCTTGGGTGACCTCCAGGAGAGGCATGTACCATAGGAGCAACTAGGAGGGCTCTGCACCGGTAGGACTTAGATTTGGGGAACATCCTGCCACCGTGAGGATATGGAACTGGAGAGGAGGCAGCTGCCTGGAGGAACTGCTGGGAAGGGATCTCACACTCCGGGGCCTACTGGGGCTGGGCAAGAAGTATTGCTGAATAAAGTGGGGCTAGCATGCGGCAGTAGGGAGAGGTGGGCTGTGCGGACCTGAGGAATGCATATGGCTTTCAAAGGCATCTCCAGATAATAATCCCGAGTGGGCCAATAAAAATTGATCCGTGGGTGGGAGTGGTCCCAGGCGATTACTGCAGACCCTCATCTGTGGGCCAGGTCAGAGAGGGGCGAATAACCAGGTGTGGAGCGCAACTGTTCTCACCTTGCCCACGTCCTGCAGGGACGCCTCAGCTTGCTCCTCCCTCCTGGCCGCAAGGGTCACTTCTGTTTGCACTCGTGGATTCTCCACAGTGGAGTCTTCCTTTCTTGTGAGTCTCTGAAGAGCCCAGGGCTCCCCCAGGATGCTAGAGCCCCCCCACCCCTGCCTGCTCCCTGCCATTGCTCCTTCTATGGTCCCTCTGGGGCTGGGGGTCAGCAGCCTCCGGACATGACCGCACCGTGCTTCTGCTTCACGAGTCCCCTCTGTTGTTCTCTGACCCTCTGCACCCAGCAGAACCCCTGTGCCCTCAGCCTCCGTCCCTCTCACCTCCTTCTGAGTGCCTGTAGCCCCTTTCCCCTGTCCGTGGGTGCTGGGTATTGAGTTCTCCAGGAAGATCTCAATCCAGGGGGCTCCTTCTGCCTGGTCTAGCGGAGACGCCTCCCCTTCTGGTTCCCACGTGCTCTGGGGATACCTAAGGCTCCTGGAATTTTCTCCCTTCTTTTCCAAAGAGAAAGGAAGGTGCCTTTGTTGCTGGGAGCTGGGCAGCCCCACCAACTGCTGTCCACTGGGCGCATCTTGCAGACAGGCAGCTTGACGGGTGTGTGAGTCCTCCATCTGGACATTTTTGGGGCCTCCATATGTGGCTGGGATCTGTGGAGAGGACCCCAAACCAGTCATCGCTCTCAGTATCAATTCACTGACCTGGTGCAGTGTTTAGGTTAGGCCATAGCGCTAATCTAATGGGCTTGCTAAATAGGTAGGTACTGGGTCCTCTCATGGAAACTTTGATTTATCAAACCTCAAATCTGACTTTTAGCAACACCCAGGTGATCTGAGCCCCAAGCTTTGGTCTGGGGAGGGATGGCAGGGCATCCCCATGTCCTTCTCTCCCTTCCCCCAGCCCGCAACCTTCTCCCTCCTGCACCTGGGTCTTGGGTATTGATCTGGCTCCCCCTAAGTTCCTCCCACCCCTTTCCTTTAATCCTTCCTCCTGAACTTGACTTTGTGTTTCAGTTTTTCCATCTGCAAAATGGGAATGATAGTACCTTATTTTAGGGTTGTGATGAAATCTCAAAAAAAACCAACACTCAGCTAAGAGTAACCTCTCAAGAAGCCTTCTTGGCTGGGCGTGGTGGCTCACACCTGTAATCCCAGCACTTGGGGAGGCTAAGGCAGGTGGATCACGAGGTCAGGAGTTCGAGACTAGCCTGGTCAATATGGTGAAACCCTGTCTCCACTAAAAATAAAAAAATTAGCTGGGAGTGGTGGTGGGTACCTGTAGCCCCAGCAACTTAGGAGGCTAAGGCAGGAGAATCCCTTGAACCAAGGAGGTAGAAGTTGCAGTGAGCCAAGATCTCGCACTGCACTCCAGCCTGGGGACAGAGCGAGACTCTGTC